CATATATATATATATATATATATATATATATTTAACCATATAGATAATAGAAGTAATTACATATATAGAAATTACATATAAAGAAGTACTTTCAGTCCTAGTGAAGTTCATCTAATTGCATTTAATATAAACTTGAACTACAAAATATTTTCATTTAATTGCAGTTAAAGGCAGGGTATGTGATTTTTCAAAAACACTTTAGAAAACTGATTCGGGCCGAATAGCAAAACAAACTTGTAGCCAATCAGCAATAAGGGGCGTGTCTACTCGTCTCGTGATGTGGAGGAGAGAGCTTTCAGTGCATGGGATGGACATTAGCCGAGCCGAGCGACAGAAAGATAGAGATGGCGGATAAAAAACAAAAGAGGAAAGCGTCTGCGGAACGATAAGGCAAGAAGTAGGACCCGTGTAAATATCGGATCAGCTTTCCAGCGCTGGAGAGAACTCAAGGAGCGGAGGCCTGCGATCGGACGCCGAGGTTGCTTTGTTTCTTCTCAATAGGTGAGTAACACCGTGTCTACAACAGCTAAAGTCTGCCTACACTGGACGCGATCAAACGACCGTTGAAAACCATTTGAAATTTGTGTCAGCACGTCATAAATAGAACCCGGCAGCAGTTTTCTGTCGGGGATTTGTTGCGCCGCGCCGCTCACGTCCGTAGACATGGTGTAACATTGGTTTTGCTTTGTTTCACAGAACTAATCGTTGCCTGGGTTGCGTACGTATATGTGGGGCGGAGCTATCAAAATAGGGGCAAGACCCTTTTGGGGTAGGGGCGTGTTTGTTTTGGTGATTTCAAATATCAACATTGGCTACCAGAAATCACTTACTCTGCCTTTAAGTGTGAAAACATTACATTCAGTTAGCACTTAAGTATATTATTTTAAAGTATTCTATTTCCGTAATACGCACTCTTGTTAAAAGTATGTTAAAAGTGTTTTTCTGTTTTACAAGGTTGAATATTATTTTTTTTACCTTGTACCTTTTTTACTTTAATTATTTCAATGCTTTTTGTTTTTTGTTCCTTATGGCCTACAGATTCACTACCTGAATAATGATCTCTGTGTTTTTATCCAGAAAATATGATAGTTAGAGTTATTCACAGGTAGCAGCCGATAGTAAGACAATTTTGTCCTTTAAAGGACATTTGTTTTCATTTGGTGACACAAAGATTGCATGCCATATTAAAATAATTCAATTTGTGTTTCTGTGCTTTAAAAAAGTATTGCAGAGAATATAATTTCATAAATTCAATAAAATGGGAGAATTGATTATAGGCCTGAATGCTTTTCTAAGTAAGCTTTTCACAGATTTGTTCCTTCATCTGTTTTTGTTGGTTCTACTGTTTTGTTTGAACATACTGTAGATGTGGCCCTTACCTTATGAGGAGCAGAAGGCCGACCGCCGAAGGGTGTCAGGCTGGCAGGAAGGTCAGTGATGTAGGTTTTTTTTGGGGGAGCGGGCTGGTACCCTTGGCTGGATGGAGGAGCAGCATGGTGACTTGGCTCAGCTCTCCATGTATCCTGACCTCCATAAGCAGGAGCTCCACCATAGTGCTGGTCCTGGTAGCCTCCAGACGGAGCAGGGCAGAATCCTGGCTGCGGAGGCCCGTATGCAAAATCAGGGCCTCTGGGTTGAGCCGGCATGTACTGAACCTGGGCTGGACCGCGGACCGGCTGCTGCTGGGGCCCAGGCTGGGCGGCCCTGACCTGAACATTGAAGGTGGGCTGGCTAGGAGTAGAGGCGGTGGTGTAGGACGCTGGGACAGGCTGGGGAGCAGGCTGGTATTGGGGCCGTGGAGATGATGAAGCCGGAGGAGGGACGGTCGGAGGGACCTGTGGTTTTGGGGTGGATTTCTTAGTGGCGGTTAGAGGGGGTTGAGGTGGGATGATCATGCGCCGATAGCCTGTAACAGGGGCGTTGGAGCCTGTCGCAGCTGGGCTGGCAGAATTCTGTAAGAAATAAACATTAAATTAGAGATTAAATTTAAGTTTCTTTGTCCACTGGACGAAAGAAAAATGTTTAATGTTGCTGCATGATGGACACACACAATCCACTGATTTTTCAATTTGAAGAAGCAGAAATAAAAAGAACTGAAATTCAACCACATTAGCATAAATTCACATGCAATTAATTGTTTTGATTATCAACAAAAGGTTTATCTTTCTTGAAATATTATATACAACAGAAAATTTGAAGTTTATCAACACAAACTTTGAATGCTGAATTGACAGACTTCTGAAAGATAAATAAATAAATAAATGAATAAATACATTTTAAAGTTAAAAGGTTTTATAGGCTTTATTGACCAGGCTGAAAAATCACTTAATTTCACATAATAGCAATAAATGTAATTAAATCTTCAATTTTCAGTACAGTAACTTCTACTTCCTGTCATTTCAAATCAATTCTAATTCAGTTTCCTGTGGGGCACGGCTAATTCACTTTCAATTACTAAGTCATGAATTTTGCCAAACCTTGATTGACATCAAGTTATACAACAGCCCAAACCATTAAACCACTATCCATCTCAGCCTGGCAACTGGCTAATGGTCATTAATGATGGGATGGACATGTTACAATAAGAGGTGGTCCTAATGAACATCAGGGGGCGTAGAACCTTCAGAACACCACGATTTAATCATCCCGCATCTTACAGCGCAAGTAGAGTAATTATGCAGCCTGTCTGCAGATCGATCCAAAGGACAAGTGCAACAACCATCAGTTGGTCATGCCTAGACCACATCCACTCATAAACTATGGCTAATAAAGCTTTGAGATTTAGAGTCAAGAGGAGGGCATAAATTGTTTTGATGGAGAGAGAGAAGTGATGAGCAGCCGGACGAGGGTAAAGACAATTGTGCTGATGCTAGCGGGCCGCATGGGATGGAGGCTAAATCAGAAAGATTTGTTTCTTTGGTTTCCTGGGTGCTTTGGCTCTGTAACTCTACGCAGAGAAATCTATTCAGTGTCCGACAATAGCTGTGTCACAGAGCCTGAGGACAGACTCGATTTCTGTAGATGTAAAAAGATTAGTAAAAATTCAAACAAGCACAAACCCTGTGACAACCATCAAAGATCAAAATAAATCCTAGCTGTAGAGCGTTTGGTGCTTTGTCTGATTGCATTAAAAGACCAAAGAGATACTTCCATTCTATAATATTTGGCTGATTTTATTCATCTATAGAAGGCTGTTCTGTCATAACTAACCAGCTAAATGAAGACCAAAGAGACTCTAATTTCATGATGAAACATTCAGTAATACACTTCATGATAGCACATCATTGCCTCGAGCAGAACTGCACGTTTTAAACACGTCTGTGAAGTGAATGTGCCTATAAAAATGTTTTAATCTTGTGGTGATGCCCATCTCTCCATGAATTCAAACTTAAAGTGTTTGGTTGAGCGAGGAAAGACACTGTTGCATCATGCACTTTAGATGGAATTCATGGTTAAGGTGGCTTGCTGAAGTGGGTCAGAAAGACATTTTTTAAACCAAGAATCTATGGATAAAACCAACTTGTTAAATGTGGTGACAGGTACTTTTAGAAGGCAAAAAGTCAAACTGCAATGTACGCAAATCCTATAGATTTGTTTTAATTTAAATGTGTTTTTGTATTAAAGTAGTAAATTAGTATAGTATAGTTAATTCAACATGGCTTATAATCACTATTTAATATTCTATATATAATTCTGACACAACATTTAAATGTGTTTTTGTATTAAAGTAGTAAATTAGTATAGTATAGTTAATTCAACAGGGCTTATAATCACTATTTAATATTCTATATATAATTCTGACACAATCTGAAAATATGCATGTTACTTATCCATTTTGCAGATGAGTAGAAAACTGTTTTCATAAAGCAAAAATATAAAAGTAGAAAAAACATGTAAAATATAATATATTTAATGTACTAGAAATTGTAATAAGCAAAAAGTTCAAACTGAGAAAAATGTTTTTAATAATTAACAGAAAAGAAACTGTCACCAAGTCTAATGCCAGTGGTGTTGGCAGAATATTAAAACACATAATGTCACATAATGAGAAACACTTCATGAAGTCCACTGAAAAATGTGAGTTTATACAGGTTACAATTTTGTAAAAAAAAAAATCTGAACAATTTTGAAATGTCAGTAAAGTTATGTATGTATGCATGTATGTACAAATAATGATAAATGACATTAAATAAGATCAAATTGTTCAAATACCTCCCTCTATTCTGAAAATCAACTTATATATTATATATAATCATCTTTAATATTATATATAAATACAAATTGTCTAAAAAAAAAAGCATGTCAAAGAGCATGGTACACAGTGGTAAGTAATTATTATTATTATTATTATTAATAATAATAATATTATTTAATCTGGTGTTATTTAGTATGACTTTGAATGAAATTAAGAAGAAAAAATACCTAATTATTATTAATTGCATTTAAAAAAAAAATTTTTTTTTTAAACTGATTTAACACTGTATTGCCAAAAAAAAAAACACATACAAAAACTGAAATAGTATTCATTGGCTGATAACTGTATAACCATCTGTGCATATATAGCTAACGTAGAGGGCAGATGTAAATGACTCCATCAAGGTGACTGTGCCAGTTTCAATTACATATTACAAAATCAAAGTCTAATAGTCTGTTTCAAATAGATCACCAGTGTTAAATTCTCTAATGACCTACAAACCTATGCTTTTCTTTTTAGGTTACTGCCTTAAGCCAGAGAATGAGAAATCAATTATTGTCTCTATCACATGATGAGGAGACTGAACCTACATGCCTGAAGCAGAGGCATGTTCTTTAAAGACATAAATATGGCCTGTTATTACGGCTCACAACGCTTTTGAAAAAATCAGGAAGAGGTTTGGGTGACACAGCGCGTGTGATGACCAATCAAGGTAACCAATCACAGAGGTTTATTAACCTAGCAGAGCAAATTCAGATGAGTGGTAACTCAAGCTCTTGGTCACGTTCCATCTTTACAACAGCAGGGGGAAAAAAAATCTTACAGAGTTCTGTCCTTGGTTTTACAGACAAAATCATCATGGATACAACTGTGTAAACGAAGGAAAAGTTGTATTTGAGTCAACTTAATGTGCTTGAGCCGCGACTATCAAAATGAGGAAAAATGATAGATGATGTGAATTTGCTTCCTTTTTATCTTAACAATAATACCTCAGGCTTCAAGACACAAAAGTCAGACAGACTCTAAAAAGACCCCGTGAAATATTTCACACTCTTAACTACAGTTTCCGTCTCAGTGATTAGGGCCGATGTATCTGTCTGCATGCAAATGTAAAATACCCTAAACGTGCCCTTCAGGAAGTGAAATTACTCAATTTAAATGTTTCATGCTATTTTAAATACTTGATATTATTAATTTATCTATAAAGACCTTAAACCCTAACATTTACTTAGGAGAGGGCTGGAAATGCAAATAGGACCCTAAAAATAATTATATTGTCATGGTAAATTTTACACCCATTAGATTAGAGGAGAGGAAATCACTCCTTTATTTGAGGGTGAAATCATGGGAAGGAGAAGATTGGTATGGAATGGCACATCATAGATTTCCTTGTGCAAACAAATCAGGAAAGTTCTGTTTTACGGAAGTATTAAACTTTGTGAATGTACCCATGAAATATGCACATCTGCTCACAGCTTCTGGGTGATCAGAATCTTCCAATTTCGTGTTGAAATGAACTTCTAAAGTTCTGCAAAGTCACATGATTGTAACATTGTCAGCTGTATAATATGTGAAAACAGTGTTAAAGTAGAAAAATCAGCAAAAGAAATATACACACTTTTTTGCCATACAATAAAAATGAAAACTTTCAAAGTACGGTATCACAATATACTGGTACTGATGATAACTGTGATGTTTAAAAAAATAAATAAAATACTGATTTTCTGTTAATGCTACACATATGGTAATATTTGGTCGGCACTCCAACATAGTAAATGGCAGTATTGCACCTTAACACTGGTTTCTGTCATAAAGTGGGAAAAAAGGAGATGACGACATAGTGTATATTTACAATTCATGCACAAAATCATGTTGGAGGACATGACATGCTAAAGTGAGACACTCGTACCCGAAAAAAATTTAGTCGCAAGTAGGGCGGTTGGGGGGGTTCTGGGAAAGAAAACAAAGACAAGGTGTTAGAAATTCCAAACTACAGCAACTGCAAATCAAGATCAAGTTCTTTTTTGTATGTTTTTGTACAGCTATACTTTAAGTGCAAACACTCTCTTGGCCTTCCTAGCTTTCAAGTGTGTTCAAAAGTTTGAAGAAATTGACTGAAAGCAACCATAGTGATTATATTGTTATTGTGAATGCTTTTGGCCATGATAAATGTGAAAATCTGATGTCATGACAGCTCTTGTACAAAAAAATAAAAATAAAAATAAAAATTAATTTTCTTTTGTGTTCCAAAGAGGAAACTAAGTTTTGGAACAAAACTAGCTACATTTCACAGGCAAAAAGGTCCATTGTCCATTGTCAATAGCGTAGCACTGCTCACACAGAAGTCACTTTCAAACCAATAAACATCAGCGAAATCTGCATGGGGGAACTTTTTCGCTCTCACGCGAAACTCCCAATTGCGCAGATTCCTATTGAAATGACTAGAATTCACCCTAGAAATGTTGCCAAGCAACTGTAAGTGTGCCTGCACCTTGAGGGTGACAAAATGATAAACATATGTTAATTTTGGGGTGAACTATCCCTTTAAGTAAAACTCAAATGACTGGCTGGTATGGAACACCTCTGTTTATGGTAACCCAACCTTATATGGATATTGTGAACAAACTCACAAATCTGTAGAGAATTCATCTGAATTAACTGTGCTGTTATGTGTCCAGCTACTGTAGCATCTCTGAACAGTCTCTTACTTACGAAACTTACTTTTCCACTAAAACTCATGATTCAGAATGACTTTTA